ACATCTTGTGTTATTTACATTTTATGCAGATTCACGGTCGGATTTACGTTGTACCAAGACCATCCGGTTTTGTGCATCAACAAAGTTAAAATGTCTTGTAGTTTTCAGCTAATTTTTCCAGTAAATCTTCACCGACTTTTATTTCAAATATCCTATAACATTTCCTACTGGTTTGGCACAGGTTTTGCACTTGCGACGCCAGCTCCACCTCCTCAAGAAATGCCAAGAGGATAGGGTAGACGAAGATCTTGGCTCTCCTCTCGCTTAGACTTCTTTCACGTTTACTCCGATTTTCCTGTTATCGCCAACTGACATCAAGCAAAAAAGGCATGCTTATCAAGTTACGGATAGGTAGAGGCACTGCAGAAAGCTATAGGTATTACAGAACTGAATGATCAAGAAGTGTCATGGCAAAGAGCCGGTTGTTTCCCTCAGATGAAGCCGCTGGCTGAGCTGCGTGCTAACTGAAATACCGATGTTAGGATGTTTGCACTGTATTTTACGATCAAAATTCTTGATCACTGTGGTTTTTGGTTGAATTTAGTCTAATGCCACCCAATTTTCCTGTGTCAGTTTGGTCTGACTCTCTACTCGCACGGAGTTGTTGAGAATTGAGGTGCAAAGATGAATTGGGTTGCAAATTCAATTGAAGCTATACATGTTTTGTACTTGAAGAGCTCATATAAATATAGTGGCGATATGGGAGGGAAATTATTTTCGCGTATATTTTGTCTGTGCACGTTCCTGGTTATTTTTTAAATTATTCTTATTCGATTAATTCAAATGCTAAAAGTAAGTATGAGTCTTGTAATTGATTTGTTTACTTATTTCTATTGTATCTTTAACCACGGGTTGGCTATGATTACAACTGAAATGAAAATCGATAATTTTGTGGCTTAAAAACACCAAATCTTATTTCAATCGTCATATGTCATAACTCATAACTATTCTGATAAATAATATGATCACAATTGTAAAAATGTGAATATTTTTCATTACTCATATATTACAAAATGACTATACTTAAGATCATATGCTTCCAAATAATTTGACATCGAATTCCCCATTTAATATTGGTGCATAAAAAAACCAACCGGCTCCAATGTTGAAAACGTGGGGCGATCACCAACGCAAACGGCACGTCGTTCTGCATCGCGAAAAGAGCACAAAATTAGCTGTACGTCCTTGGAAGAGTCTAGGGTTTTTTAATTCAAAAAGGTTGAAGGAGGTAGAGAGAGAGGGGGATTTGGTCACCCGCCACAAATAAACGGTCAACGAATGATGACGGCGTTTTCAAAATTTAATAAAAAAAGAAAGGGCGGAATATTATTTGCTTGCTGAAAGCCCGAAAGCTGAAGAAAAGCACTTTTTCTCGAGAGTAATCTCACTCTGCAAATCCCACTCACTCTCGCTTTCGTATTCGAATCCTGTTTCTGAATCGAATTCCCACCTCGAGATTAATGGCGGTGGTCGGCCTCTACCGCCGGGAGCTTCCCTCTCCTCCTGCAATCGAATTTGCTTCCCCAGACGGAAAGGTTCTCTCCCTCTCTCTCTCTCTCTCTCTCTCTAGAATATAATGAATTGCATTTGGGTATTTTTGGTTGGTTCTGTGTGAATGTGAATTTTAATTTTATCATTTTACAGAAGTTATTTACTGAAGCTCTTGGAAATGGAACCATGGAGGGGTTTCAAGTTGATCTCTTACTACCAAACGCAGTCGGAGCCTGCTTATTGCGGGCTGGCCACCCTCGCCGTCGTCCTCAACGCCCTCGCCATTGATCCCGGAAGAAAATGGAAAGGTGATTGCTTTTCTCAATTTGCCCAACTTCCCTAATGTACTTTTTGATTTTAGAGCTAAATTAGGATTTGGGTTTAGGGTTTTGTTCAATTCTGGTGCTCCAAATGCCCTTTGGATTATAAAGGCGTATACTTTGGGCTTGTTTGAGACTGCTTCTTAATAGCTAAAAGTACTTTTTGACAATCAAAAACGTGTCTGACTAAGTTTGGCATAAAAACTTAAAAGCAATTATTGGTCGTTGAACTAGCAGGTGCTTCATGAAACACTTTCAAGTTTTCAAGGTGCTTTTCATAGAAGCACGTGGATTTATAATAAATTTTTTGACATGTTTATGATAAAAGCACGGCAAAAGTGCTACCTACATAAGCACTCCCAATGGGTCTTTTGTTTATTTGCCTGATGATGTCCTGTGACTTTTTGTGAGCTTAGGCCCATGGAGATGGTTTGATGACTCAATGCTAGATTGCTGTGAGCCTTTGGCAAAGGTCAAAGCCGAAGGCATCACATTCGGGAAAGTTGCATGCTTGGCGCATTGCAACGGAGCTGAAGTGAAGGCATTACGAACCGAAGAAAGTTCGGTGGATGAATTTCGTAAGCATGTCATTTCATGTACTTCTTCAGAGGATTGTCATGTCATCACATCTTACCACAGAGCTGCATTTAGCCAGGTTTTGTGAGACTCATCCTTTCTACCACTGAGTTGTCTCCACATTGAAGTTTTGTCTTTGCATATCTAGGAAATTGAGTTAGTTTTTTTTATCTTGTATCATTGAGTTGTATTTGTGATCATTAGTGACATATTAGCACTGCTCTATCTGGTTACAGACTGGAAGTGGTCATTTTTCACCGATTGGTGGCTATCACGCCGGAACAGATATGGTTCTCATTTTGGATGTTGCTCGATTCAAATATCCTCCTCATTGGGTTCCCCTTTCGCTTCTCTGGGAGGGAATGACTACTATTGATGAAGCAACTGGACATTGTCGGGGGTATGCCCTTCACTTTTAAAGTTCCATATATTAAATTGTCGGGGTAAAAAGCGTTCAGGTCTTTATAATCATAGACTTTTGTTGTTCAAACTGCAGTAGCATTTCTTGCTCACTTTTTGTCTTTGTATAATATCTTCCTTTAATTCGTAGTTGTTAATGCACCTTTTCATATGGGTCATAGACTCATAGGCTGTAGTTTTTGTATTAAATTCTACAGTGGGGACCTTATCGTTTTCCTATTGATTACTTCACTACCGTTTACGTTCTAAAATTTGACTCTTTCAGGTACATGATCATTTCAAGGCTTAACAGAAGCCCGTCTATTCTCTACACTGTGGTATTGCTCTTGTAGGCCGATCTGTTTTATGTAACCTAGTTCCTGTGATATTTCATGTGCAAATTTCAGAATTACACTGGTATCCTTGTGGAAAAACTTAGATACATATGACTAAACTCGGATGAATGCAAATAGACCTTCGGATGAACTTAGATATGATCAAAATTGGATGAATACAAAATCCACACTGTTTGTTTCTATATACACTGCTATTGCTAACCTTTCCACAATAGACATTTGTTTAACCTTCGTGGTTACACATTTTTGGTTTATTATTCTATTTCCACTTGCCATAAAATATTAGATCCTATTGTAACTGTGAATTGTCCCCAGAGTTGCAGACATGAAGGTTGGAGTAGTATTGCGAAGTACTTAACAGAAGACGTTCCTCTCTTGTTGAAGTCGGAAGATATAAAAGATGTTCAGAATGTAATCTCTGTTTTCTTCAAATCACCACCTGCTGACTTGAGAGAGTTCATTAAATGGGTTGCTGAAGTTCGGAGACAAGAGGATGGGAATCTGAGCTTAGACAAAGAGGAAAAAGGAAGGCTCGCTATCAAGGTTTGTTATAGCCCTTTCTTTATTCATGGTTTCATGCATGCATTCTGGTTTTCTGTTTCTGTTCCCGTATTCTTCTTCTTTTTTCCAGAAAAGCAAAAGAGTGTTAGATTGATGACATTCTAAGCTATACCCGTCCATTTCTTCTTATACTTGAAATGAAAAGAAATACATAGATGGGGACTTGTGATTTTGAGGTTCTAATTGGCATTTCAGGAAGAGGTATTAAAACAAGTAAGAGAAACGGAACTCTTCAGACACGTAAGCGAATGGTTGGCTTCTAAATCAATCTGTAAAGACATATCACAAGGTGGTAAAGATACATTGCCTGAAATTGCTGCCAATGTTTGTTGCCAAGGAGGACAAGTATTTTCCGGGAGTGTCAGTTCATTTGATCGAGCATGCTGTAGGCAAACTGACGTGAAACTCTTGAAGTGCAATGGTGAAAAGCCCGTTACCGTGGTGTCGGGGACTGTAACAACAAATGGCGGTGAACAAGCAGTTGAGATGCTGGTTCCCTCATGTCAAACCGAACCAAGCAGCTTGTGTTCTTATTTTCAAGGTAGCTGCATAGGGATGCATCCATCTACAGGTGATGTTCTAACAGTACTTCTATTGGCTCTGCCTCAACAAACATGGTCTGGTCTTAGAGAAGCGAAGCTACTGGCAGAAATCAATTGCCTCATATCAACCGATTGTCTACCAACTTTGCTTCAAGAGGAGGTAAGTTCTATTTCTTTGGAGCCTCAACTATTTATTACCAGTCTAATTTTTCTTCATTGTTTGACCGGTTTAGCACCCAAGACCTAATTTACCCAAAAGCACTCTTTTAGGGAGTAGCCTGGAGTCCTTTTAACCTAATTATTTTACGACACACACACAGTAAGAAGCACAGACCTTAGATTTGATAACTCATGGATTGATTGCCCGTTGCAGGTTTTCTACTTGCGACGGCAAATCCACTTCCTCATGACTGATAAGTGATAATGGAGCTGTATCTCTTTCAAGATATGTATTCTCTTCTTATGCTTAAGTTCTTAAAGCATAAAACACACATACACCCAAAAGGAAACACAAAAGGAGTGAAAATTTTCGGCCGATTTGGTGAGCACAGGTATTTTTTTTCATGTAATTGTACTATGATTTAATCCTAATTAACATTCAGTTGTAAGATTTAAGCATAAACTGAAAGGTTATATGCGATACTAGGGAGGGGAGATTGTAAACCTAAAACAGGACATTGAATGAAATAAGCTAGAGAAAATCACAGCATTCTCGGGTTCCTGCTACTCATAGCGGACGTGCTGAGGATGATAAGCTAGTCAGCAGTGCAGTGCATTGTTGAAGGCCAAAAGAACGACCAAGAACTACGAGAAAACTTCCACCTTAGCGCCCATAGACTGCCGAACAGCGCCTCATACTGCCCAATAGTCATGTTGTCGTCAAGTTCCTCGTCACCATAAGTAAGGCTTTGTATCCCATATGGGATGCCACATATTTCTTCAATCTTCTCTTTCACTGCCTTGATTATGTGAGAAGGGTTCACATCCACCTTAGTGATTGTACCGTCTGGCCCCGTCACGTTGATCTGCACCAAACAGTCTAACAATAAATCCGCACCTGACTGTATGCCGTACTGAGCTAGTGTTTTTGTGCCCATGAGGCGAGTGCCATCAAGGAAGAGACATGGCTGCCCGTTAACTTCTTCAATCATTGGTGGGGGGATCCAAACATCGTCAATGATGTCCGAACTCTTAGCTGGAAGTCCCAGTGCGGTAACATCGGGTGTTCGGACGTAGATTGTTAATGGAGAGCTGGAAAAGTACCAATTTGTAACGTTGCAATCCGATATGACTTCCCAATCGTTTAGCGTTTCGCCGTGACAGTATGGTTGTTGGTCACTAATTGGGAGGTCTAGCATGCTCTCAACTATTACCTTGACATCATAAATCGTATGCGAAGAACTTAACTTGATTTCAAATGAATCCTCATCGTACACTGGTTTTGGGTCTGGTTTTCTTTCCGGTTCTTGGAAATGGGAGTGCCTCACCAGGTATTCTTTCGAGTTTCTCTGTGTCTTCCGAAATGTTAAACTTGTTTCTTCAACTTCTTCAGCTTGATCGCCACACCGAAAAACTGCATAAACAACACAATTCCTTTCCATGTTGTAGGTTTTCAGGCACTCAGCCTCATCAAGCAACTGCCCCTTGTAAAAAAGTTTCTGACTTGTACATGGGATCCCCATCTTCTCACAAATATATTGCTTGATGTCCATTATGGAACTGACCTTGTAGATGCTAAGCGCGATCGTTTCTCCAACCTGCGGCATTTTGATGGACAGTTTCGAAGAAGAACCGAACACCCAAATCGTTGATCTCTTGTTCACATGGTAAAACCCTAGGGTTTTCTCATCATCATCAAGATAAGCCATATGGCCACCATGAAAAAGCCATAGTTTGTCAAGTTGCACTTCAGCAAACTTTCCAGCAATCTCCTTCAAATCACGAACGGTATCCAATTCACTCACCGATATCAATTCTTCCCAACCGCAACCACGGGCGATAATCGGAAATCTATTCCCTACCGGCAACAACGTAAAACAAAGGTTCTTATTGAGATTGCACTCACTAATCCTCGTGCAATCCTCTACAAACTCCTCACCGTGGCTCACCACGAAATCGTCCAAACCAAACCCTACCACGCTCTCTGTCACCGCCTTAATCTCCCGGCCAGTAAACCACGGTTTTATGTCCACCAAAACAGGTCCCCAGCCCGGCACCTTGACATGGATACTCACACCATCAACTTTGGGATTGATTTTCTCAGAACAAAAGATTGCATGAACAGTAGACCAGCTTTCAACATTGCACGCTGCTAGGGTTTCGTTGTCACGATCCAGCACTTTGCCATTGTAAACTAGGGTTTGTCGCTCCACCGGCACGCCTTCCACGCACTGGATCATGGCCTTGAGATGCTTGATAGTATCTGAACTCTTCAATTTGAACATAATGATATCTCTGTCGGACGTTTTCTTGACCAGTATGTCGTAGGGTCTGAACTTCATCTTGTTTGTCATTAGACTGCAGAGAATCTAGCCGAAAACAACCACTCTATGAATGGAGCGAGTTTGCAGGTCATTGATATTTATAATGCTACTTTATGAATCCGTGTATGACAAAGATTAAACTACAAGAGAAGAGATACAAGTATTGTAATTCAAACAAGAGTATGACAACAACTCCCGATGAGATCTGGTTTAACGCAAAACAGCTAGGGTTTAGGATTTTATGCATGTAGTCCAATACCCTAGTGGATAGAGAGTTTGATTTCTATTTAATTTGAAACTCCCCCTTCCCTAAATTATAGTAATAGTCTCAAACTCTTCCCTATTTCCCTAATGATATTGGAAAAAAAGGGTTTAGGTTTGGATTGAGGCACATATCATCATTTACTTGGTGGGTCTAATAACTGTGGCACGACAAGCCCATTTTTTTCTCCCAACACTGAGGTTTAGGGTTTGTTTGCGATATTTTGAAGGGGCTATAAGTGTTTTCGACAACCAAAAATGCTTTTATTTGTGTTTGACAAAAAAAAATTTAGAAGCATCTCCTGGAAAAGTATATATTGAAGGAAGTTGAGGTTTCACCATGAGAAGTAGTCCACCTATTTTAAGCACATGCAAGGTCGCTTTCGATTTGTGATGCATACTCTTAATGTCTCCTTATGTGTGATGAATTTTCAAACCTAACATGTGGTAAAAGTAACACAAATTGAATAATGTGGAGCATGTGTGGCCATTTGCATAAGCCAACACACTCTGATACGATAAAAAAACATAAGCTTTTCTCTATTTGGCTAAACAAAATGATCTTAATTACATTGTGTAAGATAGGCTCAACTAAAAGTCATTAGGTGCTGGTCGGACCGACGAGTAAGGACTTAGCGCCTAGGCGGTGGCCTAGTTTGTTTTTTAATTTTAACTTAATTTATTATATAACATATAAATAAATGTTTACTTATACCTAAAAAATACATAATGGTATTGGAATACATAAAATGCAAAATAAAATGACATATAAATTAAAGGGAAATTTTATTTGAACCCAAACAACCGCACTTTACACCCAACTTAAATCTTAATTGTGAATTGTCTTCTTAGACCTATTGTCTAATTACCATCAAGTACAAGATGAAATGAATACAAAAATCAAAATGTTATCGATAAACCCACCTCCAATAATTAAACCCTTATCATCACGCAATAATTTTTTTACGTTCTGTTTTGGCTAAAATCCTAAGACGTTGTCAAAGAGAGAAATAAGCTCTTTTTGACGGATATATGATAATTTTGAAGTTTTAAATCTTTCAAATAAAATATGAATCAATTTATGTTAATTTTTTATTTGATTCCAATTCTTTTTGTTTAGGCTTTAGTAGCAGTTGTATATTGCCTGCAAATAGGATTGAAATCAAGGATAAAAAAGGTGGATGATGTATTTCTTGGTATTTTGTTTCTCTGCCCCCACATGTTCTAGGTTTTTCAAAGATCCATATATATGGTAATTATCTTTTTTAGTGATAGTGTCCCGATAAATATATGTCAGAACCAAATCTTTTTTGTTAAGAGGAAGTAGCCATAACTCGAGCAAAAAATTGAAATCAATGATTATTGAAATCAATAATTGAACTGGGTAATTATACTTGGTAAAATCTCAACAATAAACTTGTTCGGAGCACAAGGTGCGAAAGAAACCCATAGGATACCTAAACTTGTGCAAATTAAAAAATATTTTGAATACCTCAACGCTTGGGTTGGTTCGGTGAAGAAACAGAGCAATGAGAAATATGCAGCAAAAGAAGGATTAAGTGCAAGACAAATATGTAAGATATATTGTTCTCTTTACGTCTTGAATGAGTTGTAGAATACTCATTTTGTGTTTTTATTTTCTCAATGGGTGTAAAGATAAACTTACATACTGAATTGGGTTTGTAAGGGTAATTTAGGTAGTAAATTTGGGTTCAAAGAGATATTGATGGTTTAATTAAAATTAATATGGGTGTAGAGAGTAAGTTGGGGGTAGAAATAGGTTGTATGAGTTCAAATAAAATTTCTCTAAATTAAAAAGTACTAGAACATATTAAAAACATAGGAAACAAACTTATAATAAGTGTTCATCCAAGTATGCAACAAGCCATTTCCAATTTATCGAAAAAATAAAGTACAAAGTAAAAGTTGTCTATTTTATGTCTAAGCGAGAGTCGCGGAATAGACGGGAGCCTAGGCTGGTCTAGGTGCCTTTCTTGTTTTTTAAACACTTAGGAATTAATCGTGACAGTGGCCAGCTGCTTAGCGCCTAAGTATGTCTAGCGCCTAAGTGGGGCCTAGATGGCGCTAGGCGCGAACTTTTAGGACACTGCCTATATTTCCTTCTTTAAGATCTAAATTGTGTTTATCAAAACAACTGAAATTTGTTGATGTGTTATTAATAAAAGTGCTTGTAAAAAAGCACTTATCACCAAAAATTCAATCTATACTAAAACCCAAAAACAACTGAATCACTGTTCATAAGAACAGTGTAGTTCCGATTTTGCCCTTGCTTAGTTGTGTTATTACATGTCTGCCATTCGGTGTTGAGTTATTGAGCTGTCGTTCACTCTCTTCGACAGCACAGCAAGGAAACTCAGTTTCCTCCTCCATTTGTTCATTCCTGCTCACTTCAATTTGAACGAAAATGATCCCCACCGAGTCTGGAGGGCTCCTCCATTCCTCCCTTTGTTTGTGTTATTACAAGTCTCCATATCTCTTCCCTCCGTGACTCAGCTGACGACGACGGGCTATTTCCGTTTGAAAGCCGGCAAATCGGACCTCAACGTTTGACCAATCGTCTCCCCTTCATCTCAGGAACAAGAAACAGCCGTTGCATGCCTCGATTTGTTACGGTTTCGATGAGGATTTTTTAATACTCCTCAGAGTTTTCCTACGTTTATGCGATGATTCCGGCAAAGGTCGGCGTCGATGTTGGTCTCAAACTATTCCTCAGCACCTCAGGTACCTTCTTCATCTATTGTATGTAAAGATTCTGCTTCAAATATTTGATTTAATATAAATGGGTTTTATTTAATTTTTCATATTTTTTTCCTTCAAAATTCTGGGTTGTGCACAAATTTTCGTTAGCAGGTCTCAATCAAAGTTGTGTATGCTTTGTGCAGAGAGAGAAAGCGGCTGGGATATGAGCAATAAGCGTTTTTACAAAATCTTAATATACCAGTGCGAGTGAAGTGTGTCTGTTTAGTACTAATATTTCAGTTCAAGTAAAGTTTACTGCATTTTTCTACAAATAGGTACGATAATGGTTTATAGATTCCCTATTTATATCATTGGAATATATTTGTTCAAAGTAATATTACAATGATTTCGAACAAAGCTTAACCATAATAGGCAGTAGACATTATATATCTGCTAATTTGTTGAACTATTGGTGCTCTATAAAGAGATAATATATATGTTACCCACAAATATAATGTGAAGATTATAAACTGTGAAGGGGATCTCTTACTTCATTGGAACAGGAACTGACGTAGAACTACGGATAGAACCCCGGTATCTACTTATATGTTGAGTTACACACTAAATTTATAAATACTTTTTACAGATAACATGCAAATTTCCTTCTTTCAGTCTGTTGTATGCCTATGACGTGATAAACATATAAAAAGTTTGCGAAAATTGATGGCTCATGTCATAACAAATACTTTTTCAAATTCTAAGTTTTTATCCGCTTTCGCTCTTTTTTGTTCAATGGTTTCAATTAATTGCTTTTAGTATAACATGCCCATATGTTACCGGTTCTATGTTACCGAGTATAGCTTGAGGTTATGAATGTCCCTGAAAGCACCTTAATTTTGTGTATAATTTAAGTTTTTGCATTGTGAAGATGAGCAAGTTGGCATCTAGGAGTGCATGTCACGTGAAGATGATATTGGAGGCCTTGCAGGTAGAATCGTTCAGGTCATTATTTGAGGATTTGATTTGATTTGTTTTTTTCTCTTTATTACTAAGATTTTTCCTAACCACTTTACATATGGGGCTACCAAAAAACATTGAATTGGCACAAAAATGGCCGTAATTTTCATTTTACATAATTTTTGCAATCCTTTGTTGAAATATGCAGCACATGGTAGGAGATAATTCTTCTTCATTGTGAACATTCAGGTAAATCTGTCTTTCATGGGTTTTTCTATTATTCTTTGCAGTTTTTCCCTGTTGCCTGCCATTAATTACCAAATTATCTATGTGAACTAGGTCCAAGTTCAACTACTTATGGTTTGGCACTATACTATATGATGAATTCTCCAGTCGAAGATACACCCTTGCTACAGAGTTTTATCAAGGGGGATGATTTATATGAAATTCAAGGTTTAACTTCTAACTGATTCTTCTCTCCTCAGGGTTCATGGATTGTTAAGCAATGTGTGGGAAGAAAGCATGCCTCGTTGACCAGGCACTTGAAATCAATTATTTCCACGAGAAGAACTATTTGGAGGTATATCAATTTTTAGCATGCTTTTATATATGTTCTTTGATCACCCTACTTTGTGGACAGCTTATTGACACTTCACTGAAATTCAAGGCCTTCTGTTTTCGGGTTCAATTTGTTAGAGTATATAGAGTTAAGGTGATTCCAAATGTCACATGATTTGTCTATATATTTGTGAGGTTCAATCAATGTCATATGAAGATGGTAGCATGTGTTACAAGATTAAACCATCTCAGTATAGTGTCAAGATGCAGTTAGTGAGTCAGTTATTTTATAGGGATATAATCCTCACTCATTGTGTAGTATTGTTTTTGGTAATTAATTAATTATTTTAAATGCAATATCATGAATATTTATACTCATTTATATATTTGTAAAGACCATCAGAACACACGAATGTAATATATGTACATATTAAACACTACTCCTTAACACATATATTTTCTACACTTTCTACATTTTCAACAATTTTCTAAACCCCGCAGCAACGCGCGGGTACACTTGCTTGTGTTTACTATTAGAAGTAATCCATAATATTTGATCAAAAAAAAAAAAAGTAATCCATAATAAAGATCTCTACAGATATGGTAAACGTTAGTATGGAGGTGTATACGCCGGTAGAATCATAAATAATGGGGCCGCCATGTCTACTATTTAATTTGATGTCGATAGGAGAGAAATAGAAAAAGGCTGGCATTGGCAGTGTGCCTGTAAATGTGTCATGAATATTAGGACATCAATTAATTTTGATAGTGATTCGGTGTCTACACTCCACTCATGGCTCCAACGTATTTGGAATGATCACACGGGACCAGTAAGTAGAGGATAGGAGGGGAACCATGTCATACGTTGTGTTTACTTGTTGGTCCATTTGGAAGGCAAGATGTGATGCTGTTTTTAACTAACGGCAACCCTCCCCTTTGCGAACTGTGCTTGCCATGTCCCTCGCTGCTTCATCCTTCCTGGAAGCTTGCTCGGGGGTTAGTAGTGGGCGGGATTCAACCTCTTGCTGCTTGGCGGTGCGTAGGAAGAAGATCCGTGCATCATGTGTTTTGGCCGCGGTGGTGAGGGGTGTTTTGGAGGGATGTGTGATGGCGAGATAGTGGGGCTTCCATAGTATTGTGGTGGAATCTAACTTCAAGGAGATAATATCATGGCTAAATGGATGCATTGACCATGGATCTTAGGAGGTTTTTCTGGTGTTGTGTGATATTCGTGGGGTTGGCGAGGCGTTCAGTTCGTGTGTTTGGTCTTGGGTGCCAAGGTCAGCCAATGAAGCGGCGGATTATGTAGCGTTCCATATTAGTGTGGAGATGAGCGACTTAGTCTAGGTTCAACGACCCTCATCTTCGTTTGTTCGTATTCTGAACAAGGATGGGCTACCATGCCCTCCAAGCTAGCTTTTGTTAACTGGGTCTTAGGGTGACACGTATACTCCTCCGTGTCGTAGTTTATTTCCTTTATTCTCTGTTTTCATGTCTGATGTTGTTAGCCCTGTGTGGCTTTCTGGACTGTCTTTGGTTTAGGTCCTGGTTAATGATATTTCCAGTTTCCAAAAAAAAAATTAATAATAATTTTGATAGTAATTCATTTGTAATTGATATGCTTTTTACCCACCTCATTAGTTATTGACAAGCCTCTCTTTTATTCAACTCTATGTAGTGACTAATGTTAATTTTATTGTAGCGGATAGCTCTCGTTAGATCATTGTTTTAGCCAATTTTGGGCATTCGTGATTACTATAAGAAAACTTGATAATAGTCATCGATAATAGCTTTTTAGGTGCATTTGTCGATATTAGCTGTACAAAATGAGGTTAGCAAATGACTATTAGCCTTGCACAGATATGCATTTTACCCACGCCTTTAGCCAAGGATAAGTCCGCCTTTTATCCAATGTATTATGAACAACTAATGTTAATTTTTGTCGTAGTAAATAGCTCTCAATACTCTTAAACAAGAGCTGAAACCCTAAAATATCTATGTAGGCAATTAATAAAAGATGTTAAATAATCAAGTAGGAGTTGTGGAGTATGCTTCATGCATGGGAGGGTTCCCACCGGCTCGGGTGTTCAACACCACCACCTTCTCTCTGTCTTTGCCCTTTCTGGTAGTGTTGTTCGTGGGTTGCCACGAACTTCATCCTGATAGTTGGCTTCTTCCAACCACTTGCTGGCTTTCCTTTCTTTGTGGCTGGGCTCAGAACGTTCATCGAGGTGAGATGCTGCAATTACTCTAGCGATGCTTGGTTGTGGACGAGGACTTGGTCGGATCGCGATCGGCGGCGATTGGTGTAGAACTTTCTGGTGTTTGTCATCTTTTGTGCTTTTTGGGCTTCAACTTCTGGTTGGCCCTTTGTAGTTTGTTTTTTGGGCCCGTGTTTTGCTTGTTTATGTGTGTTGTTTGGGCCTTGGGTATGCCTATATGTATGTTTTAGTTTGTTATAAATGTGAAGAAGCTTTTTTTCAAAATAAATAAATAAGAACTCTGTTGGAAAACGTAGAGCTCGAGTCAAAATTGCTAACCACCTCCACAGACCGTGGGTTCCCAAAGATTGCAGTTGTGGAGTGCATCATACGCCATGCATCCTCATGGTCCTATTGAACTATTGAATGGACAGTTGAGAGATAGAGAGAGACCATAACTTTTTAAATGTCACAGATTTAAGTTTGGAAGCTGATTTTTTTTAGGAAAAATATTGAAAAATGTTTGAAAACTTTGAATTTTAATCAAAATGATAAAAATGTATTGCAAGTGAATAGTATTAGGAATGACTTTTTACAGTAAAATTATCATTTTTGATAATAGCTCGAGTCACAGATTTAACGAAAATGATATTTTTACTGTAAAAAGTGAATAATACCGGAAGTATTTCGTTAAAACTCCATCTTTTTTTTCGATTCCAATGGGTAGGAAGGAAAAAAATAGTACTCACTTATTTATGGAAAGAAAATTTATCTTGGAATTAGGTATCACAAGTCATTCATATTAGGCCGAAGAAAATGAGTGTAATATAAATATATTGAACTCAACACTCATATACAAATCATTCTTATAGAGTGCCGGAAAGTTTGAGTTTGATACCAATATGTTGAACTCATGTGCAATTTATTAAATTCAGAGTGTTATATCAACATATTAAACTCACACTAGTGTAATAATAGTGTTATAGAATCAAACCCATGTTGCAAGATTCTTATATATAGCTATCACACTCACTTAAATTAAACACCTTATTGGTCAACAATGCCAATTAGCATGTTTGAAAAACTTGTCAAGTGTTGTAAAATTGGTGGTATGTGGGCTGTGGAATATAAAGTAAACGAGACACAATATTTACGTGGTTTGACAAGTGTGCCTACGTCCTTGAGACAGTAGCAATACTTTCTCTCATTATTTGAAATAATAGGACTACAAAGATAACTTTCACTATTTTCTCGTCTCTCTCTAGCCCAGCTCACTGATAATTTCTCTTGCATCTTTTTTTTTTCCTTTTCTCTTCTTTCTCTTTGATATTGAATTGTGTATATGCAATGAACGAATGAACCTCATTTTATAGAGGTTTTCATCCAATGAAATAATATAGCAACACTATTCACTTTACAAAATTTCTTCAAATAAATAGTGCATAAATAATAATTCATTTGATTTTTCTTCAGATGAATAGTAAAGAACTATTCATGTGGGCCATCCATATACGACATTACAACACTCTCCCTTAGATGGTAATATGTCAATTTTGGTTACTTCGTTAAATTCTTGATCTGTTTTGGATGCTCCCCCGAAAGAGTATCTCCTATTGATTTCGAATTCGTCAAACTGACTGATTACTAAGTTGATGTAATCTGATACCATGCATGATAGTTTAAGTGTTTGCTTTTGAATGTGGTTCACATGTGCTCCAAATTTTAATGGGATGCAAGTATTAGCCAAACCCCAACCCAACCTAGTTCGTCCCCCCCCCCCAACAAACCCAGAAAGAAGAAGGAGGAAGAAGAAGAAGAAAAATTAAAAAAAAAAAAAACCCCAACCCAACCCAGTTCGCCCCCTTCCCCCCACCATAAACCCAACCCCCAGCAACCCAGAAAGAAGAAGGAGGAGGAAGATGAGGAAGAAGATTAAAAAAAAAAAACCCAACCCAGTTGCCCCCCCTCAACAAACCCAGGAAGAAGAAGAGGAAGAAACAACAACAAAAAAAAAAAAAAAAAAAAAAAAAACCAAACCCAGTTCGTCCATCCCTCCCCCCCTCCACCCAACCTGTAGAAAAAGAAGAAGAGAGAGAAGGAAAAAAAAAAGGAAACCTAGTTCGTCCGTCTCACCCCCCCTCCCCCGGCACCCACCATTTTCCCTCCACACCCATTTCCCCCATTTTCTCTTCGCCCAGGTTCTCAACCTTCGGAATTGACCTGGCGAAGGTTTCCTGATTCCACCTCAACAGGATCTGGGTTTTTTTCTAGGTTTTTTTTTTTATGGGTTGCAGGTAATGGGTGCGAGGTTGGGTGCAAAGGGTGGGTGCAAAGGTGGGGAGGTTGGGTGCGGGGAGAAGAGGGAGTGGGGGGGGGGGAACGGGGAAGACAAATTGGTTTTTTTTTTTTTTCTCTCTTCTTTTTTCTGGGTTGCAGTTGTAGGAAGGGGGAAGAAGATGAAGATGGGGAGAAGAGAGAGAAGGGGGGGAAGGGAACGAACTTAGTGTTGGTTTTTTTTTTTTTTTTTTTAACTTTTCTTTATTATTTTAATATTTAAAAATATTTAATTTTGTTTTTAGTTTTTAATAATTTTTTAATAGAAAATGGGCTCCGGATCAAGCTACGTGAGTATTTAACTGAGAAATTCACGCCAAGCTAACGGAAGGTATAGCATTGGCACAAATTCGTAAGATGAGGTATGACATTGTCAATTTTGAAAGATGAAGTATGAAAGTGTCGTGACACCAATTGTTGATGTAGTTTTTTGTAATTTATCCAATATAAAACTAGTGATATGATTTTAAACCAATATCATTCACATAATATGCCAAAACAAAAAAGACAATGATAAAGTGTCCATCTTTTTTTTTTCAGTTCTTCTCACATGGTGCAATAAACCATCCAAAAATCTAGCCCCATTTCCCCTTTTTTATCTTTTCCACGTGAATGATTGATCATTCACTTTTTTTATTTCTTTTTTTGTGCTCAACCAGAACCACACCTCTCAGGCTCCCCATTTTTATTCTATTTATTTATTTAGGTATGGTAATGAGCTTTAAGCACTTTGGTAGCAAAGGTAAT